TTGAGTGCTCAAAAAATGTTTGCATGGATTACAAAATCCTGTGCATGTAATTTTAATATCAGGATCTTAAAGACGACAAAACATGGTAATTATGCACTTGCATGCTTCATTCATTCTCACACTATCGGCTGTTTTATATCTTCTGGCCCAGACATCTTAGAGCATGATTCGTTGTAATTAAGTGTAACGATCTCTTAATCTGGGCATAAACCCCAATTACGCTTGTATTATATAAACTTAATGACAGATGCCTCAGGGTGGATAACTACCAGAAATGCCTTGGTAGAGTGAAGCAGCGCATCCTCAACTCTTTCAACATCAGCATCCCACAGAACACGCTCAAGTTCCGGTTGAGAATACATGAGAATTACATGCACTGCAGCCATATGTTGCCTTAAGTCATGAGAATGTGACAGGTGATGGCTTCCTTCATGGTTAGCACTGACGGATAGATCATACGGGTGTACTGGAGCTTGATACAGCAGGTCAACGGTAGAGATATTGCCATAATAACGCAACCTCTCAGGACCGTTCTGCACTCGTGATTTGATGTTATGGCCTTATTGATCCCATAACCGCAAGCACCATTCACGATGAGCAAATATGTACATAAATGTCACCTAGGAATCACAGGAATAGATGCCAATGTGCAAGTAAAATAAAGATCGTGGGCTTTCTGGCCATTAATGTGGTTGTTCCTATTGATAAATAATAAATCACAGGTACAGTGGAGGGAGAAGCCTTGAGGTCTTGCAGGATCTCACTGGGATGTCATTTGAAATGTAAAAGAATAATGCTGTCAGAGCAGTAAACATCAACCTGTAACAACAGCACTTCAGGGATAAAGTCATAGACAGCAATGCGGAGAAGCAGCGGAGTTGTGTGATTTTTGCCTGAAGCGAGGAACGTTTCATTGAAAATGGGACCGCCGGTGTCCTCTCTCGCTCCAGGATCACTCTGATACCACCATGTGTTAAACACATCGTTAATAGACTATTAAGATTCTGAAAGAAATTATGATTGTGAAATATTATTGCAAGAAAAATGAACAAAAACAAAATATTTAGTGAAAATTTATGAAGAGTCTATGTCTATTGAAGCCTGTTCTCGTTTCAGTGTAAAAAAATAAAGAAGGAACTAAAGTCATGAAAAATAAAAGTAGTGTTAATTCAATGAGAAATTAATTCACTATTAATGAATATATAGTTTGTATTTTGAGAATCGAAAATGTAAAACATTCTCAATTATGGCACAACATAATTATGAAGTATAAAATCAGAAATATGAGAAGTTCAAAACAAGGTCAACATTGTGAAATGTAAAGTCGTAATTATAAAAAATGAACTTGAAATATTTAAATTTTTCTTTATGCTGTGCTGTCAAAGGCAGCAGACAGAAAAATATAATAAATATTATTAGATAAATTATGATTATATTATTAATATTATAAAATAAGAAGTCCGTTTCACAAAAAAAAATATCTGGCATTGGTCAAATATAAACTATAATCAAATTAAATATTATTTAAAGGTTTAATATATCAGCTGCTTGCAAAAAAATTTATTTTTTACTCTGAACCAGAAACAAAATTAATTATTGACTATCCTTTGCTATGACATCAAAAGCAGCACACAGAAAAATATAATAAATAATATAATACATAATATTTCACAAGTCCATTTGACAAATAATATATGGCACTGGTAAAATATCTACTGTAATAAAAGTGCAATTTAAAGAAACACTGGTTACAATAAGATTCCATCTGTAACATTACACTCTAAAAAATGCTGGGTTAAATACAACCCAGTGCTTGGTAAAATAGGGACAAACCCAGCAATTGGGTTGTTTTGACCCAGTGGTTGGGTTACTACCCAGAAGGTTGGGTTAAACATTTAACCCACCCGCTGGGTCAAAACAGCCCAATAGCTGGGTTTGTCCCTATTTTACCCAGCGCTGGGTTATATTTAACCCAGCATTTTTTAGAGTGTAGTTAAACCAAGAAAAATACTTCTAAAGCATTTATTAGCTAATGTTGATTCCTACATTTACTAATACATATATTAGTGTTGTTTAATGGAACTGAGCTACCACTGAACAGCTGTATTTTATTAACCAAGGTTAACTAAGATTAATAAATACTGTAACAAATGTATTGCTTGTTAGTTGCTGTTAGTTAATGCATTAAACATAGTTAAGAAACGGAACCTTATTTTAAAGTCTTACCAAAATATTTACTATTTGAATGTTGCTTGAATTCTAAATGGCTGTCAATGAAGAAGATACCTTTTTGCACCAGAAGGTGTAGTTGCAATGTCTACCAACAGGGGCAAACTGGACCATGCTGACCAGCCAAACCTTGACTCCTTGGATTCTCTCACCAGAGTGTGGATCGAGCGAGGAGCAGGAAATGGAAAACCTGGAGTGGATCTGGGACAGGTTACAGACACTTTGAGCGAGGAGGGGAAATTACTGTCACTCTACTCCACATACACGGGTAGAGAGAGAATTCATGAGAGAAAGAAAGAGAGAGAGAGATAGTCCTGTTATTCCTAAATAACTATAAGCCATAACGAATGAACACTGAATCTCCTTGAGTTTCTCAGTAATTGGAAGCGAGCGATGTCGTGCTCTGCATATTTGCCAGAAGCATAACAGACTTTATTAGGAACCATAAAACACCATTAAAATTCACAACTCAGGGAGCCGGGCCTAGCCCATGAGACTGATGAATTACTACTGTTCACTGAAAGTGACCATATTCTTTCGCTCTTTTATCTTACGGGACTTCGCTGCTATATGCAACCAGTTACATCCATCATATGGATTCATCTTCTCCACTGGCCACAAGGAGAACCAATTTGACAATAGATCAGCGTATTTGTGAAAAGCAGACTGCCTCAGTATTAGAGGAAACAAAGAGCAAAACACACAAAAAAAATATCTTTCACATACTTGAAGTCAACATGAAACGGCATTTTTTTCTTTGCACTATAAGTTCTACCATGTATTTCCGTGATGTATCGTGACGTATTTCCAAATGAAACTGAATATTCCAAGGAAATAATGTCAATTTTAGCCATTGGAATTTAACTGGATGTTGCAGTCTATTTAGAAGGATTACTCAACACCTGAAACACCACCACCATCTTTTTTTTTTTTTTTTTTGGAGATTTAAGTGCCATTAACCAAAGATAAGACAAGATGCACAATAAGAATGATTACCAAGTCGATTAATTTAGACTTTCTGATGATATGAATCAGCATTTACAAAGTATTTAACTTAATTTTTATGCATTTCTGAGATAAACAGAATATTGGGTAAGAAAAAAATATATGATAGGATTATTCATCCTATTGGAATCTGATTGGATAATGCAAAAATATGATTTTATTGACTAATATTAATTTTCTTCAACAACAAAAGTGTTTTTAAGAATTATGTTTTAATAAAGAAATATAAAAACAAAGATTTTTAGATTTAAACTACCGTTTAAAAGTTTGGGGGTCAGTGAGTGTTTCTTTTTTGATCTTTTACTTTAAATTTGCAAGGATGCACTAAATTGATCAAAAGTGACAGTAAAGACTTTTATATTGTTATCTAAATGCTAATTTATTTTGAACTTTTTACTTGAAGTACTAAAATCCCCACAACCAAAAAATAAAAAATAAAAATCTCGGTTTTCACAAAAATATCAAACAGCACAACTTTTCTTCCACACTGATAAAAAAAAAAAAAAAAAAAAAAAAAAAAAAAAAAAAAAAATTTGGAGCAGCAAATCATCATATTAAAATGATTTCCTAAGGCTCACGTTACACTTAAGACAGGAGTAATTATGCTGAAAATTCAGTTTTACCATCATAGGAATAAATTACGTTTTAAAATACATTCAAATACAAGTCATTTTAAATTGCAACAATATTTCAGTTTTTCTGTATTTTTGATCAAATAAATGCAGCCGTTGGTGAGCATGAGAGACTTCTTTCAAAAATACAAATAATACTAACCACAAATTTTGAACGGTATAGTGATTGCACCAATGAATCATTCACAAATAAAACAGGACCATTTATTACGAAACTAAATATGCATTATGATTTCACATTGACTTTAAGCAGCAAATCAGCACGGCCCCCAATATAGAGAGAGTCCCCAAAGCGTTGTGCACATTTACATGGACACACCTTTTTATTTCCTATCTAGGTCAACACAGTCAAATTGACTGTCAATTTACAGTCAAAATAAAGTATAGATAGAAATGATATATCCATTAGAGACAGACATTTAAAGCAGAGAGTGAAAGAGAGGAAGGGACAGATGACATCCACACATTGTTTGCTAATCTTTAAATCAGCCATGATTAGAGTTGAGGGCATCAGTGCATTGCCATTCTCAGACAGAGCTCAACAGCACACAATCCATATGGTCAAACCGCGAGAGGTCAAATCTACAGGACACATCAGTCATCTGCTGCTTCTCAATTCCAGAGGAAAACACGTCCTTTTACAGAGAGCCTGAGCTCTGCGGTACATTTATAGGTCTATGCACATCCTTGGCCTTTCATCGACGACATGTCCTTGCTCTGAAGACGCAGTTGGGGTCCTTCGAAATGGTTCTTACGCAACAGCCTCGCCGCTCTTCGCAAAGAACTTACGTAATCTTAGTCTGAAAGGTACACGAACAGTCTCCTCTGACGGTTTAACTGGATGGAAAGCGAGTGAAGTGTTCTCCTAGCTAATGCATTTTGAGATAAAAACTTAAACAGTTCAATTATGTCAAGGTTTGATTGAAAATGTTGCGTGTTCCCAGCTGTGAGACGATGACGGCCGCTGGGACTCGATGACCTGCATGTAACTGTAGAGACGCTTGACTGACTGCAAGCATGGCGCACGGATTCCATTTCCTGTTGGAGGGTGACGGGGAGAGGGGCAGCTGATATCTTTAGCGCCGAAATGAGAGGATGGACACAAATGTGTGGGGGCTGATTTTATAGGTCTATGCACATCCTTGGCCTTTCATCGACGACATGTCCTTGCTCTGAAGACGCAGTTGGGGTCCTTCGAAATGGTTCTTACGCAACAGCCTCGCCGCTCTTCGCGAAGAACTTACGTAATCTTAGTCTGAAAGGTACACGAACAGTCTCCTCTGACGGTTTAACTGGATGGAAAGTGAGTGAAGTGTTCTCCTAGCTAATGCATTTTGAGATAAAAACTTAAACAGTTCAATTATGTCAAGGTTTGATTGAAAATGTTGCGTGTTCCCAGCTGTGAGACGATGACGGCCGCTGGGACTCGATGACCTGCATGTAACTGTAGAGACGCTTGACTGACTGCAAGCATGGCGCACGGATTCCATTTCCTGTTGGAGGGTGACGGGGAGAGGGGCAGCTGATATCTTTAGCGCCGAAATGAGAGGATGGACACAAATGTGTGGGGGCTGATGGATGATTCCTGTTTGGCGTCGCTCCTGTGAATGTCAGCAAACCTGTGCACACACAAAGAGAAAACCATCGGCGGGGACATTAGGGAAATGCATTTTGTGGCTGATCAAAGGCAAGAAAAAACGACCTGCATTACCTTTCCCTGCCTCGCCTTTTCATGTTTGTTGATTTTGTGGCTCTTTTGTTTGTGTTTACTTAGCGAATGATGATTTTTATATGACAGCGTTCTGAAGAGCGGCTGCTTTGAAAGGCACATGCTTTTGAAAAATGTAAATGGCAGAGGGTGAATGCCTCTGTTCTTTCGCACGAAAGTCTTAGTGACATGATTATTTTGTTACACGCGGGCCTTTCGACGTGGTTGCGTTCGTCTTGCGGCACCATTAAGTTTTTAAAGGGAGAATTATGCCACCCGTTGTCTGTCTGAGTGTTAATTTGCATTTAGAGAAATAAAATGGAATATGTAAATGTACATCGCCTGTGCACTAATCAGCATTGTTTCCTCCGAGCTGGTGTCCTGCTAAGATATTCAGTTATTTTAAATACAATCATGCTTTAGTACAGTTCTCTGCTCTGTTTTAATCAAAGTGTATAATTAAGCTCTCTTTTGTGCTTTGTTGCTGTAGTAGTTGTGATATTCTGCATAGAAAATCTCACACTCTCACTGTTCAGGGTTCGAACACTTTTTGACCAGCGAGTTGATTGACAATGATTCGCTGAAGAATCTGTGAACGGTTAAGCCAGTTCATAGAAAATACTTAATAAACAAAAATTACAAACACTGTAAAAAAAGAAAAATTCCACGTATTGCAATTAAAACGTTCAGTTGCTGCCTTAATATTTTAAGCATGGCTGCACAAGTCATTTCAACTTAAATGATATTAAACTGACTTTAAAAAAGTTGAATATCACATAACTTCATAAATTAAGTTAAATTTGTTAAATTAATTGGATGAGTTAAAGTAATGGCTGCCAAGTTATTTTTAAAGTGAACTTGAGTCTGAGATTTAGACTCGAGTCCCAATTAAATTAGTTTTAAGAAATTTGAGTCTTAAAACAACAAAAGTCTACTTCTTCAAGTAGAAATATTTTTCTATGCTTACATACAAGTTTCTGGTTGAATAAAAGTGTCTTTAATCTCTTTCCTGTCAGAATGTGTGGATATTTGCCTCTTTAAGGTTTAAAGACCCTGATATTCAGAAAAAGTTTGGCTCTCGATAAGCATACAGCCCTCTGTGACAATTTTTCCACAGAAAGATTCTAGAAATGCACAATCATTTAATGATGGTATACAGAAGTATAGAGGCATAAAAGGATATGGTTTAGAGCAAAAGAAAAACCTGGCTACCATAGTTACCTATTCATTTACGGTGGGTAAAACACTGAAAAATATCCTAATGAGCAGGCATTTACAACTGAAAAAAGTTCTAAAAGTTCAGAAAAGTTAGGTGAACAATCCCACCCTTGGCAACTTATATAATACATAATGAAAATATACTCTTACTGTAAGTGCACAGTATGAAGGATCTTTTGATTGAAGTAGAACATCATATATTTTCTTTTAGACAAGTTTGACTTAATAAACAAATTCTAGAAAATGAATTAGATTCTGCATCAGCAATTTGTGTGATCACTATAGTTCACAAGCAATTTTTACAGTACACATCATTAATACTGAAGACACTTTTATGCATTTAGCATAGTGGCTTACATTGAATTAATGCATTCCAGATACTGCATACATATAATCAATTCACACAATGTCGGGGAAAAGAACCCATGACCCTGGCATTGCAAGTGCCATGTTTTAGCTAAAGAAAAGTTTATAGAAGAGCATAAAAAATTAATTCACTCTAAAGTCTTTTTTTTTTTTTTTTTTTTTTTTACATTTTTCATGATTTTACTATCTACAGAAAACATAAAAGTTAAAATCTCCAAACATTTTCTGAAACTGGGCTGTGATACTTTTTTGAACAGTTAAAGTACTATTTTTTTAAGACAGTTAAACATCATTATATAGGATAAATCTCTTTTCCAAAAATAATTTTCATAAAGGGAACAGGCTTTTAGTGTTTAGCGTGTCAACTGCGTATTCATCTCCACTAAGCTAAGTATTCAGTCAATTATCAAAACACAGTAACATCAGCCATAATTAAATAGGTGAATTGAAAACATTATGCAATTATCTGATTTTTTACAGCAGTAAATTAAATTAATTCCCTCTAAAGTGAATTTCTTTTTTTTTTTTTTTTTTTACATTTTTCATGATTTTACTATCTATAGAAAACATAAAAGTTAAAATCTCCAAACATTTTCTGAAACTGGGCTGTGATACTTTTTTGAACAGTTAAAGTACTATTTTTTTTAAGACAGTTAAACATCATTATATAGGATAAATCTCTTTTCCAAAAATAATTTTCATAAAGGGAACAGGCTTTTAGTGTTTAGCGTGTCAACTGCGTATTCATCTCCACTAAGCTAAGTATTCAGTCAATTATCAAAACACAGTAACATCAGCCATAATTAAATAGGTGAATTGAAAACATTATGCAATTATCTGATTTTTTACAGCAGTAAATTTGGAAACCCTTGAGTTAGAGAAAAAAGCTATTGGGATTTGTAAATCAGACATTCCCCCAAATTACTCAAATCAATTTTTAATGCACGTCAATGTAATCAGAACACAATTTCGTACATTCCAGTTCCTCTCCAAGTAAATATTTATGGCGATCCCTCTTTGCCGTTTCTCCATCTCTCCGTGATTGTCTACGATACACGCGGCGTTCTTTTGAGGGTAGAGGACGCAACATGCTGGAAATGTTGATAACACTGGCATGAACCAGAACCGCCATCCAGGATTTCATTTCCTAGAACCACCGCGGAGCCACAAAGCCTACAATGCTCCCCAGAAGTCTTACACAACAGCTTCCCTCTGAGATGTTCCTTAAGTGCTCACTCTGGACCCTTTTATAATGGAGCTTTTCAATAAAAAGTCTTCCCTCATGACTAGCTTTTTAATAAAGTGCTTTTCAAAGAAATAAAGGCATGTGCAATTCAAATATAGCTCTGACTGTTGGAATAACACTGACATGAAAAGGCATTGTTTCCCAAAGGACACTTTTTAATACAGGAAAAATGATGTTGGTGGCGGTTTTAGAACAATATTCAGCATATTATTTTGCCATGTAATGAAAAGACCGGAAAGCTATTGCTGAGAAACCGACAGGTGCTAATTGCCTCAAGGATTAACATACATTTATGCAAATTCCTGTACGCATATTATCCTTCTGCACTGCAAAACTACAGTCTTTCCCAAGCCATGTACACTCACTGGGAATCGCTAGAAGCATGACGGAAAGACAAACAACAGCTGGCATGTAAATATATCTTGTTAAATATAACCGTATCTCCTTCTTTGCTACCATCGCGCCATCTGCAATCACTACTGAGGCAGAACACGAGGGATTTTAGGTTTCAGCTCACGTCCCGCAACATCATCTTCTCCCTTCATCTCTCGATCCGCGGCAAAACCGGCGCCCCCAGCTGCCCTCTAATCCAGCTTTAGCCCTTCCACTGATCAGGTGCGTCACTCTTAACACAACTTCATCAGCACCGGCGGGGCACAACTGGCTGGATAAATGATAAGATTTCCACTCGATTTCTGCTCTGCCTTATTTCACCTCTGTACCTGTGCTCTGTATCTGTCATGTTGCTTTAAAGCCAACGCTGTGACAGCACTCTTGTCGGTCGCCGTGTTTTGCTACGGACCCACTCGCTGGACGATCACCGTCTTTGCATATTAGATTTAGAGACAATGATGGCTTACTTAGGAAAAGCAAACAGAGCAAGATAAGAGATAATCTTACTGAAGCACCACTCACCTCCTCACGGCAATCTGAATCCTTTAGGATGGCTCCTTGGGCAGAGGCTGTAAAAAAAGAAGAAGAAAGGAAATAGTGGTCAGATATTTCATTAGACCCGTGTTATATAACTAAATTCTACTAAATAACATGAAAAATACATCCCTTGACTTTACAGTCATGCAAAAGATTTCAAATGGTTGAGAAACACTATAAAAAACATCATTCTATAACCTAACCGTTTATTAAATAATTTGAAATAGATTCAACTATAACTACGTTTTGCACATTTTTTTGTCCATTTTTATTTGTCAATAACCTGAAACAAATGTTTTTTTTTCAAAATACAAAATAAGTATTGCAATGCAAAACACTAAACTAAAACTAAGAGACTGTGTGGAAAATGTTCCCAAGGTTAAAGTTCAGAGAAAAAGAGGCCGTTTAAATGTGCAAATTGTGATTTTCCACCATTTTTTAAAATAATGATTAATTGAAACATGTTGGTTCCTTTAATTGTTTATTATTTTTGTATTAATTTATTATGTTATTGAGACTGATCAGTGGTATGTGCTTTGAGATTATAGGCAAGGCAAATTTATATAGCACATTTCATACACTGGTAATTCAAAGTGTTTTGCAGGAAATTATTATTTTTTTAAATAGTAATCTTAAAAAGTTTCACAAGAAATACAAATATAAAAAAAACAATAAATGTTAGTAAACAATGGAAAGATAATAAATTAGTTAAAATGAAATAAGATTATACATTAAAATTAATTTGAGAAAAATAAAAGAATAAAACGAACAAATAAAAGGAAAAGAGGATAAAAACCCTTCCGTAAAATAAAACGCATATTATAAGACAATGAAAGTGTTTTTTGACCTTGCATGCATGTCAACCTGTTGTTGGCGACTCCCAAAACCAAAATATGAACCTTTCATAACACAAAATAGGGGTCCTTTAATAAATAAATCAACATAATTAATCAATTTTGCTGAAGTCTATGTTTGAGTATGACCCACAATAGACCATCCTAAATTAAATAAATGAATAAATAATAGTTCCTACTAAAAGATACAGTATGGTTAATAGTGTGTCTGTTTTAGTTAGTCACTGCCCAGCACTGCTTGTCCTCTGCTGTCTGGTTTATATTCTCAAAGCTCCTCAAATTAGCCAGCCCTGTATTCTGCAATTCACAGGGCTTTTTTTGAAGTCTTTACTCTCAGATCAAGTTGAAGAAACTTCCATAAAAGGAAAAGAGGATAAAAACCCTTCCGTAAAATAAAATAATAAAACTAAAAACGAGTAGTCCTTTATGCTTGGTATCAATCTCAACATGTTAAAGTGCCCTATTATGGATTTTTGAAAATTACCTTTCATGCAGTGTGTAACACAGCTCTAAGTGAATGAAAACATCCTGCAAAGTTTTAAATCTGAAAGTGCACTGTGTATAAAGTTATTGTCTCTCAAAAGAGAGAGTCGACTCTGAATCATTAAAATGAGTAGTTTTTAAAACAAATCCCAAGCCGTTTCATGTTGATGTCAACATGAAACATTAGCATATTGTCCGCACACTGCGCAGACCCGGGAAAACGTGAAAACTTGGTTCACCGTTGACCACCATCACTTGGTTGGTTAATCGTTGAGCGAGTCATTTTGGAGTCGTTGAGCAAGTAAGGTAAAAATAAATGCATATTATAAGACAATGAAAGTGTTTTTTGACCTTGCATGCATGTCAACCTGTTGTTGGCGACTCCCAAAACCAAAATATGAACCTTTCATAACACAAAATAGGGGTCCTTTAATAAATAAATCAACATAATTAATCAATTTTGCTGAAGTCTATGTTTGAGTATGACCCACAATAGACCATCCTAAATTAAATAAATGAATAAATAATAGTTCCTACTAAAAGATACAGTATGGTTAATAGTGTGTCTGTTTTAGTTAGTCACTGCCCAGCACTGCTTGTCCTCTGCTGTCTGGTTTATATTCTCAAAGATCCTCAAATTAGCCAGCCCTGTATTCTGCACTTCACAGGGCCTTTTTTGAAGTCTTTACTCTCAGATCAAGTTGAAGAAACTTCCAACTTTCCACGTGCTCATTCAATGTTTATAAAAACCTCTTAACCCCTCAAGACTTTGAGTCCTTCATTGGCAAGCTCGTGGTTCTTGGACCCGCTACACTCATTGGCATGCAGAAGGCTCTCTAAGCTGCTCGTTGGCACCCGTGCTGATTGGCTCGTCACTGTGTCATTCACAATGGTGCTGACAGTGCCCGTGATTCTATGGGTAGAGCTGCTTTCTCCAGTGCCCGCCTGCCCGTATGCCTCTCCGCCCTGGAAGTCTGGCGCTATCTGTGAAACCCTTCACGCAGTGCATCTGATCTGCTGCACCTCTCCTCAAACATGTCTTGTCATCTAAATGCTAAGCACTCATGCTGCATTGTTAAATGAAAACAACAAGAACAGCGAAAGCAAACAAGACAATCCTGCAACTAACTAGCTGCAAGCTTTTTGATTTGATTTTTTCCAATTTCTCTTTTTCAAGATCCTAGACACATTCTTCTCTCTCCTGGAGATGTGAGGGGAATTCTGAGAGCGTTATCACGTAAGCTCAGTGTGCGCTACTGTACTGTGGTTTTTGCCACAGTTTTGCAGTCTGAGACTAACTTTGGGAATTATCTTTGATTGGTTGCTGTGACATGATCGACAGCGGGTTAATTGCCTTGGCGATGAATCTCAGCCCCAGATGAAGTGTCTGAAAGTTTGAGCCACAGTCCTCCAGTGTTTGTTGAAGAACTAAAAAATGCAATTGGTAGAATTAGCCTGTCTGCATGATATGCAAGATAAATACTTTGTTCATTAAGATCCCTACAGGACATTACGATTGTGCTTTTTTAATGTATTATTTTTTAATGTATTTGTTTTTACAATAATACTTCCATAATTTATTGTTTTTTTATGCATTTGTCAGTTAATTTTGTTTATTGTTCTGCAACGGTTGTGTTTCCTCTTTATAATATTGTTCTGAAGCTCAAATAAATAATAAAACAAAAAGAAATTACCTTGGTTACTCCACAAAATCCCTTTTTTCGGCCAGCCACATTAGACTCCCAACAGTCCAATTTCATTTTTTTTCCATGCAGAACATTGCCAACAAATGCTAATTTGGCTCTATGGCTGATACAATAGAGCACAACAGTGCCTGTCCACTTTTTCAGCAGCCTAGGTTTAGGAACTATTCTTTCCCATTAATTTTTCCCTTTGGGTCTTCTTTTGAGAACTATAAGCCATGAACCAAACCAACCGGCTAGGAAGAGAATCACAACATTAGAAATTTTGGAAAACCTTTAGATTAGGGAACACATATTAACTAAGAGTTTTCCCTCAATAAACTCCTAATTTGCTGTGTGTTTATAGTAAGTACGGTAGTTGTTTGTGGTTTTTATCATTTTTTATCGTTAATGGATCTAGAATATGGTCATTATAGAATATAGCACTAATATGTGCTTTATAAATAATAAACAGCCAATATGCTAGTAATAAGGAACTAGTTAATAGTGAATAGTGTTCTCTAATCGACAGTGTTACCCAAATTTGAAACGAAAATATATTTGTAAATATTGTGAACTTAATTGTTTATTGAGGGGAAATAACTACAAAGCCATGCGACATTGCGAATGACAAACTAAAAACAGTGGAGAAATACAAAACTATTTATTTAAAGATGATGATAACAGAGCCCATATATGTTGAGTCTATTGCAAAATATGCATTCAAATATTAGATTTAGAGCGTAAGGAAAGTGACTCTATTGTAGTGTTCGAAATTGAATACTTCCCTACTATACTGTATATTATGCCAAAACAATAGTGTGTCTAAATACATAGTATTCATAAAATGGTGGGAGGTTCTTTTGGCTCAGCTTGCTGGTTGAGATTCTCTGATTGGTAGAGATTCTCTGCAGAATCATGGGTAATGTAGTTTTTCACTTGGAATTCTACACATTTATTTAAGAAAAATACATTGAATTAATGCAGGCTGTTGGTTTTAACAAAAGCAAATACCATCTACTGATAACCTTGTAACTCAAAGTAGGTCTGTCTTCAAAGGTTTATAAGTTATAGTTCACAATCAATTCCGCTACGGAGAAAAGCAATGGGATTTTTACTTATGAAACACAATTTTTGCACTTTTAAAAATTGAAACCTCTTGTCGATGCTGTCAGTCGTGACCAAAATCTGATCTCACTGGTGTCATATCATACTATCTAAACATGAATGCGACGATCATAAAGCACAGAAAACAAAATCACACCACGTTATGCATATTGGTGCAGGGATGGCTTGCTTCTAACAGAAAAATCGCTAAGAAAAGCAACCGCACAGGCCTGCTTCTTACGGCTGAGTTTCTCTAGTGCTTTATGCACAACTTGATATTGATTTGGTGACACCAACTCTAAGGAAAAACTGCTGAGGCAGCCATTGTAGGAGCCACTATTAACTGGTCATGCTAATTAATGGTCTAAAAAGGTGAATGCAGTCTCCTGTGGTAAAGTAGGAAGGAGGCAGAATGAGAGTGAGTGAGAGAGCGAGCGACAGGGACGTGGAGACATTTCTTGTGTCTGCAAACAATCGGCTGAAACAGCTCCTCTGTTAGCGCATTACCACAGGGGATTGTGTGCCGCCACAGTACTGTGAATGTCGTAGGGTATTAGTCTGCAAGAGGAAGATGAAGAGTATGTAAACTTGCCTCCTAGCAGAGAGGCCCAGATTACAAATGAGTACTTTGCTAATTGAGCGGATTAGCTATCATTAGCGCAAATGATGCTACTGCTCCAGGTGCTAGCATCGCAGGAGGTAAAAAGTGCTTAATGGAAACAATATTATTAACAGCAACACTATTTACTCTCTGAAAGAGTAAATACAGCTCTGTTATCTTTTACAAACTGCCCCAATCCCATCCTGGCAAAAAATACACTAGCGATGGAACTAGATGGAATGAAGGAAACGACAAGGCATGTTTCACACATTCTGTTGCACATCTTTCTTTCTGCCCCCATAATA